CCCCGCGCCCCCGCCGCTGCTGCTGCTGCTGCTGCTGCTGCTGCTGCTGCTGCTGCGTCTGGGGGACTGGACCGGGGAGGCCAGCGGGCTGGCCAGGTCCTCTTCGGGGACCTGGTGGGGGTCTTGGAGTTCTTGAATGAAGTAAGCCTCGCCTGCTGCTCCGAGCTTCATGAAGAGAGAAGTTGGTTTGCTGTTGACAAAAATGGAAACTATTTTTTCTCTGGAACGAAGTAATTTGGCTTTTCCGAATCGAACATGGAAAGGAGTGGACTGCAGCTGTCCAGACACCGGACAGCGCACGCAGACGATGTCGATACACCCGCTGAGGGTGGCTTGGTTGAAGTCCAGCGCGCTGCTGACGCTGCTGACGATGCGGCCCCACATCGCAGCAGCAGCAGCAGCAGCAGCAGCAGCAGGGGGGGTGAGGGCCACGGGGGAAGCGACAGGCGGTGAGGCCTGCTGCTGCTGCTGCTGCTGCTGCTGCAGCGGAGGAGGCGGAGGGTGCAGCGCGGGGCGCGAGCTGCAGCTGAGTCGAGACGCCAAGAGGGCGCTACAAGCCGCTGCAGCAGCAGCAGCAGCAGCAGCAGCAGCTGCTGCTGCTGCTGCTGCGCAGCCTGCACGGGAGCCGAGACCGGGCGGCGCCCCTTGTTCTTCCTTCTCCGCAGCAAACAAAAAACTAAGTTTGTTTTAAAAGAACTTTTCAATCTGGAAGAGTTGTGCCGGCGAGATGCCCTTGAGGCGGCGTGTTGCTGCTGCTGCTGCTGCTGCTGCTGCTGCTGCTGCTGCCGTCGCCACCTTCACACACCACCCCGAATGCGATAAAAAATCGGGCAGCCTCCGTGATATTCTCAGCCCCGGGACAAACTTCAAACCCTAAACCCTCATTGGAAACCCTAAACCCTAAACCCTAAACCCTAAACCCCGACAGTCCGCTGCGGAAGCGGAAGCTGCAGCCCAGCCAACAGCAGCGCAGCGCGCAGCGCCGCAGCAGCAGCAGCTCGGAACTAAACCACAATTAAATTAATTCAAATTATAAGTCATTCTTCATATTCTAAATAATATAGTTATTCAAATTAATAGTTTTCCAAACTCCCCAGCGAAGAAGTCGGCAACCCCTGCTTCCGCTGCTGCTGCTGCTGCTGCTGCTGCTGCTGCTGCTGTCGGCTTAGCCGGGGCCCCCTATACTGAACTCAAGATATAGTACAGCTCGCAGCTTCTTTACAGCAGCAGCAGCAGCAGCAGAAGCAGCAGCAGCACACTGCTAAGCCGTTCTAAGCACACGCCAGAAGAAGCAGCAGCAGCTCCCTGCTGCAGCGCCTCAAAGCGAGAGCAGCAGCCGCAGCAGCAGCAGCAGCAGCAGCAGTTGTTAGTTAAGCAGGTCAGCAGCAGCAGCACCTCTGAATGCTGCATCAATAAACTGCTGCGTATCTTGCACAGAGTGCAGCACACGTGGGCGGGGGCTGCTAGTATTGCTGCAGCAGCTGCAGCAGCTGCAGCAGCTCACTGAGACTTGCAATTGGGATTCAAGAGTATTTCTTTTTTGCAAATTTTTGCAAATTGAATTTGCAGAAAATGGCCAAAATCGGAGATGTTGTTTACAAAATTACGGAAGCGCAAGCCAACTGTTTCAAGACAGCCTTTGGCATTTTCGACACCGACGGCGACGGCTACGTCACTCTCGAGTCTGTCGTTCTTTTTCAAAAAACAAATTAAATTCTTTTAATTAATTCAAATGAAACAATTTAAATCTAATTCTCTTGCTAGGAACTGGGAACTACCCCCGCAAAGGACCATGCAGATCTTAGTCCTGCGAAACCTTTTGCAAATGAAATGCAACTCTTGGACACTGCAGCAATGGACAAGTCCATTTGGACTTTCATTCTGCATTTAACATTTAAACTTGTTTGAAAACATATTTGCGTCATTTTGCGATTTATTTTCGATTATTTTAATGCTGGTTTCGGGCGGAGAGTTCAGGCGGTTTCGCCGGCGGTTTCGGGTGTACAGGCACCTCGCTGCACCGCCGCTCGCCGCAACAACAGGAAACTGAAGGATCCAAAAGGGTCTTTTGGGCTCTTTTTGCATGCAATTTTTTCAGAGAATTTGCAAAACTCTTCCGCTCCGTTGGCCAGTCACCTTCGGAGGCCACTCTGCGAAAAATCGCCGAAAAATTCGACCCCGAAGGCTCCGGAAAGCTGGGGCTGCACACGTTTCTGAGCATTTGCGAGTCGGAGTTCTTTGAAGAGTCCATGAAGGAGGAAAAGCTGTTGGAGTGTTTTCGTGTTTTCGATCAAGATGCAATTGGAAAAATCAAAACTACAGAACTCCGATTCATTCTTCAGCAAATTGGAGAGCCTCTTTCCGACGAAGAGGCCGACAAATTCATCGAATGGGCTCTCAAAGTAAGACGCCCTGGGATTGCTGCTGGTCAGGATGCTCCTGAACTTGCTGCTGCTGCTGCTGCTGCTGCTGCTGCTGCTGCTGCTGCTGCTGCTGCTGCTGCTGCTGCTGCTGCTTGTCCTGCTGCTCTGGCGGCTGCTGCAGCTGCTGGGCTCACTTCTTCAGCTGCTGCAGCTGCTGCTGCGGTTGCTACTGTGGGGAAAGCCTCTTCAGCAAATGCGCAGAAAGTAATAGTTCTGCTGCGGCTGCTGCTGCTGCTACAAGAACTGCAGCAGCAGCAGCTTTTTAGTTCATCAGCGCAGCGCGAATCAACTCGCTTCAGCACGTGAAATCGATAGAATGAGCGGCCTATCGTTCATCAGCAGCGAAAGCTTTTTTATTCAATGCTGCTGCTCTTGCTGCTGCTTCTGCTGCTGCTTTTGCTGCTGCTGCTGCTGCTGCTGCTGCTGCTGCAGGTGCCTGAAGCAGTTTCAGATGGGGGCATGATAAACTATGACGTGTTGGCGAGAGAGTTGCTGAATCGCGACCCGGATGTGTTATAAAAATTTGAAAAGAAAGTTTTGAATAAATTAAAAAAGAAACCAAAAATAAAACAATTACAATTTAAAATGCAAATTCTTTTTCGAAATCCAATCTAAAAGAAGCAAGAAAAAGAATTTGAAGAGAAAGTTTTGAATAAATAAACAAATAGACCAAAAATAAAATTATTACAATTTAAAATGCAAATTCCTTTTTGAAATCCAATCTGAAAGAAGCAATTAAAAAAAGGAAAAAAAACTCAAACGCTGGCAGCAGCAAATCAATGCAAATGGGGCTTTGCATGCAAATGAGACTTCGAATTTAAAAAATTAATTTAATCACAAATTAATTAAAAATTAAAAAGTGAAAAGTTGAATTATGGAACACCAGATGTTGAAGAAGTACAAGAAATGCATTTATGTAAATGCATTTATTTTTAAGTAACAAATGAACATATATTTATATCTAAATATATATATATATATTATATTTGGAATTAAATATATTTTTAAATATCTAAATATATATATATTTGGAATTAAATATATTCCCAAATATATACATCTAAATATATATTTAGATATAAAATATGTGTTCATTTGTTATTTATGAATATAAAGAGATTTATTTTGTGCAAATCTGCCATGATGCTCTCTTCGTGAAGATACGCTATTTCACTTGTAGATTTTGCAAAACAAACACCCTTTGCGTTCTGTTGCTGCTGCTGCTGCTGCTGCTGTTGTTGTTGCTGCTGCTGCTGCTGCACCTGTGTTGTGGTCAGCAGCAGCAGCAACTGCGCGCTTACCAGCAGCAACGGCGCAGCACCAGCAACAGCAGCAGAAGCCACAGCCACAACCACACAGCAGCAGCAGCAGCTTTTTTACTTCCATCTCGGAGCCCTAAACCCTAAACCCTAAACCCTAAACTAAGACCTAGTTGCTACTTGAAAATGAACAGCCGGGTGGCAGCTGCTGCTGCCTTTGCTGCTGCTGTTGCTGCTGCTGCAGCTTAGCCATATCTGAAAAGTATCTTTATTTATTTTTGTTGCTTCAAAGCTTTGCCGCCAAAGTTTGTCGTGGCGACCGCACTGTGCTGAGACACTTCCAGCACAGTGTCGCGGTGCCCTAGGGTTTAGGGTTTAGGGTTTAGGGTTTAGGGAGACGGTAGAAGTGCGTGGGCTGGAAATATGCAAGGTGCATCTTACTGGACCTCTAGGGTTTAGGGTTTAGGGAAGTAACCCTAAAGGGTGCAGCAAACATGAATATATGCTGCAGCAAAACTGCAGCCACAAGAATAAAGTGACTGCGCAGCAAAATAAATATGAAAAAGAAAAAAGCAAAAGATGCACCTGCAGCATAATCTAAAATGCAGAGCAGCACATCATGCTAGGCGGTGCAGCTGCGCAATCCAGCAGCAGCAGCAGCAGCAGCAGCAGCAGCAGCAGCAGCAGTGGCAAGTAACAGTAGCGGGAGCAGAAGCAGCAGCAGTTGGAGCTGTCTTGTGCACTCTCTGAATTCAAATGTTTACAATAAACACTGCATGCAGAGGGAGTGAGCCTCAAATACAAATAGAGAAGGACTAGATGAGGTGGAGCTCCACAAGCAGCTGCTGCTGCAGCTGCTGCAGGAGCTGCTGCTGCAGCTGCTGCTGCAGCTGCTGCTGCACCTACTGTTGCAGTGGCTGCTTCAGCTGCTGCTGCAAGTGCTGCTTCAGCTGTTGCTGCAGTGGCTGTTGCAGCTGCTGCAGCAGCAGCCGCAGCTGCTGCTGCAGTGGCTATTGCAGCAGCTGCTGCAACTGTTTGCCTGTGGACCACTGGTGACCATTGCAGCAAGCCAAGTAACCAGTGGTCAGCATGCATGCAGGCCAGCTGAGGCTGAGAAAGCAGCAGCAGGGAAATTCAAACTGCAGCAGCAACTTGTGTGGAGAAAAGCAACTGAAAGAAACAACAAAAGTAACTCGCAGCAGCAAAAAAGAATTGAAATTTAAAAAGAAAAACTTAAAGAGAGCCGTCAGAGTTTGCTTCATCTTCAAGAAGTGACTCTGGGGGCAGCGTCTTGTCGAGGCCATTTAAGAGTTCATGAACTTTTTGCCTGAGTGCTGTGTTGGCAGCAACGGCTTTGGCGAGCTGCTGCTGCAGCTGCTGCTGCTGCTGCTCGTACTCCCTGCTGAGCTGCTGCTGCCGCTGCTGCTGCTCCAGCAGCCGCTGCGCTGCTGCTGCTTGCCGCCGGTCTGCTGCTTCCTGCAGCCGCGCCACTTTGGCCTCAGCCAAAGCTGTGAGGCTTTCGCAGCGTCTTTTAGCATCAGCTGTTTCTTTTTCAGCTTTTCTTTTGACTGCATCTCTATCTGCTTCTGCTGCTGCGAGTCTTGCTGCAGCGTCGGCGAGCTGCTGCTGCTGCCCGCTGCAGGCCTCCTGCAGCTGGTCCAGCTTCTGCTGCAGCAGCGCGAGTTCCTGCTGCAGCGACAGCCGGCCAGTCTCTGCTGCAGCAAGACTGTCTTCGAGCTGCCGCTTGGCAGCAGCAAGTGCTGCAGCTTTTGCTGCTGCTTCCTTGTTCTGCTCGTGCAGCGCCTCCTTGAGCCGCGTGGCCTCAGCCTCAGCAGCAGCATGGGCCTGCTGCTGGTGCTGCTGCAGCGTCTGGAAGTGTTTGACTGTTGCAGCGAGCTCGGCCCGCGCTTGTGCTGCATCTGCTGCTGCTGCTGCTGCGCGCCTTTCTGCTGCTTCCAGCTTCACCGTGGCTTCCCCGTGAGACTGCTGCAGCGACTCCAGTTGCTTCCTCAAAGTTTCCCCAAGACCTTCTGCTTGAAGAGCTCTTTTCTCCAAAGTTTCTCCTTGAGCAGCTTTTATAATTTGCAGCTCCGTTTCGTGCTGCCCGCGCAGCTGGTCCAGGTGGCGCTGCAGCAGCGCAGCACTTGCTGCTGCTTTCTCTTTTTCCACCACCAGCGCATGCAGCTGCTGCGTGGTGCTGTCGAGTTGCTTTTTTGTGTCTTCTGTTTCTTGCGTCTGAGCTGCCAGCCGCTGCTCCAAGTAGTCCGCCACTTCTTTAGCTGCTGCTGCTTCTCTTGCTGCTGCTTCTGCGTGCTGCTTGAGGTCGTCGAGTTGCTGCTGCAGCGTGGCTGCCGCAGCTGCGGCGGCGCGCTGGCGCTGCAGCTCCTCGTTCTGCTGCTGCTGCTGCTGCTGCGCCTCCTGCAGCGCAGCAGCCAGTTTCTCTGCGTCTTTTTCCTTGGCCTTCAGCTTCTTGTCCAGCTCCTCGTTTGCTGCTGCTGCGTCCCGCAGCTGCTGCTCCTGCTGCGCCACAGAGTCCTCCAGCCTCGCCAGAGAATGCTCTTTTGCTGCTACTGCTGCAGCACGGCGCTCCGTCTCGGCCACCACTGCGCGCATTTCCTCCAGTGCTGCTTCACTTTGCTGCACGTGGCATTTCAAAAGATGGTTTTGACTCAGCAGCACTTCACTTTGTTCAGAAGTGAGGCTGTAGAGTTCTTCGAGTTCGTTTCGCTCCTGCAGCAGCGTCACGTAGGTTTTGCTGCAGCCGCTGCTGCTGCCGGGGGCCCCCGAGGCCTCCGCCTCGAACAGCTGCTGCAGCCGTTCCGTTTTGCTGCGCAGCTCTTCAGCTAGCTGCTCGTTTTCCCGTGTCACTCCTGCCACTTTCGCGCTGAAACTTTCAATAATCCTTTCTTTTTCTTTTGTTTCTTCTTGGAGTTCTGCGATCCGTTCGTCGTAAGCAGCAAGCAAGGGGCTCACGAGCTGCATGTTCAGGCACCAGGGCGGCAGCGGCAGGGTCTCAGCTTGCTGCTGCAGCTCTGCTGCTGCAGCAGAAGGCTGCGCAGCAGCGTCCCCGCCACTGCTGCCAGCAGCAGCAGCAGCAATGGCCTGAGCCAAGCGCGCGCTCCGCAGCTCTTTCGTTACGCGCTCAGCGTAGCCTCTCAGGCTCGTGTTTTCCTGCTGCAGCCGCACCAGCTGCTGCATCAAAGCCAGCTCTTGGGGCTGCAGCCTTGCTGCTGCTGCAGCAGGCGGCCTACGCTGCGCCGCCCCCACGGGCCAGCCACCACTAAGTAACTGCTGCAGCTGCTGCGGATGCAGCTGCTGTTGCTGCATCTGTTGCTGCTGCAGCTGTTGCTGCTGTAGCTGTTGTTGCTGCAGCGGCTGCTGCTGCAGCTGTTGCTGCTGCAGCTGTTGCTGCTGCAGCTGTTGCTGCTGCAGCTGCTGCTGCTGCAGCTGTTGCTGCTGCAGCAGCTGCTGCTGCATTCCTACTGACACCAGCAACTACGCGCTGAAAGCTAGTTGTAGTGCATGCGCTTGCCCTTGTGTTGCCGAAGGGCCCTAAATAGATTCTGACTACTTGAACTAAAGGATTTTCCTACTTCAGCTTTCCCCGTTGCTGTGTCGCTGCCCAACACCAGGGCAGTTGGGATACATCTGTGGACATCTGCGCAGCCAAAATTGGAGAGTTACATTGAAAACATTAATGGAGGCCTTTTAAAGCTAATTAAATACCTAAAATAGAACTGGAAACAAGAGCGCTTGTCACCCAAGTGGGAGGGTCCGCACGTTCTGCTGACATTATCCGTTCTGTGTAGCCTCGTGCGAGATCTGGCCTGTGATCTTCTGGGCTTAATATAAATCTACATTTTTTTGAGGTCAAACTGAAAAGCTCATGCAGGACGAGCTAGACACGCGGGATTTGGCAGTCTTGAAGTACATGCACCTGGTTGAGCGCTCTGCATGCAGGAAGCCCTGTGGTTTCTTGGTCGGAATTCAATAACTAGAATTGTAGTTATTTAGGAAACAATGCCTTTGCTTGAAGCTAGAAACCTATTGCTTTTCCTCCCGTAATCTCTGGCGCAGAGTTTTAACTCTGCATAGGGAGCATCCTAGGCTTGGTAGAAGGTCACCTCAGTCAAGCTTGATATTTCTTACCTACCAGAGTTTCTACACCATAAAAAAACGCGCATGAGCTCTCTTTTGTTTATTTGAAGACAACAAGAAAATCAATAATATCGCGGGTGAGTGAAGGATGCAACTCGCCGCGTTAGTAGTCCAGGGGTAGGATGCAACCCTCCCAAGGTTGCGACCCGGGTTCGAGTCCCGGCTGACGCACTTTTTCGGGTTTTTAACTCTTTTCAGGAGGCATTGATGTCATCGTTAGGTCCTCTGTAGGCTTTTCGAATGTAAATAGCACTCAATACCATGCCTAGCACGAGCGAAGGTCATTGTGAAGCTGGAGAAGTTGAACGGATACGCTAGGAATGGACTTTCCAACTAAGCACTTAGTGAATACTATGAAAGCTACATTGCGGGCGGCGCAATTGCCATTGGTTGATCCCTTACGCAGTTCTTTCAATTCAAGGGAAAATCGAAAGCTGAAGCGGGCGCTGTGAAAGCATTAGCAGCCTTCCTTGTTCGTAGTTTCAAGCGACTCTGATTGCTACATGGTCTGTGCGCTATGCTCCCCCTTCAACTGTGCTTCTACATTCTACCGTCAGCCACAATCACTAAAATGCCACAGGAAACTTCATTCTCACTCAAAAGTTGGATCGCTACTCGCCGTCTGCGCCTGACCTTTGCAGCTCATGGAGCCCTTGCAGCCGTTTCAGTGCAAAATAGACTCTTGCCCGTCTCATACGAATACTGAAGCAGTGAAATGCCTATCTACTTTGTGTCAAAGCTGCACAGTTCCCTTGGCTTTGTCTTGGGCAGAGAATGGTTCCGAAGAACTAGATTTGCAGCCAATTAAACACTAGGGTCTTCAAAAATACTCTGGAAGTGTCCTCACATTACAGAACTGCCAACAATAGTCATAGCTGTCACTAGACGGAATTGTTGTTGCGGAGATGTGTATTGAGTTGGCTCCAGCATTCTCATTTAGTCCTCACTAGCGCCCTCGCCAGCACCATCTGCTTCTCCTTGCGAAGAAGCTAGTGAAACTAAGATATTATCCAACTACAAGTACACTCGCATTGCACTTTGAAAAACCACTTGGATACCAGGAAGACGAATATAGTAAAGACTCTGCATTTCAGGAGGTTGCAGCAGCCAGCCACGTGCTTTTGCTGTAAGAAACGAGTTGTACGCTGCCAGTTTCAAGTTCCAGCGCAGTTGAAGCTTGTCCAGCTAGTGTGACAAGCTTCTCTCAGCCAAGGTATTCGCATGTTTCATCTGACGTCAATAGAACTAAGAAAGCTGGGGAGCGCCAGCTTTTGTAGCGGCGGGTTCTGTATTCTTCGCTCTGAAAAATGCGGCCTCAGAAGGCCCACAAGTTTCCACATGGCAGCTTGTCGCATGCGCTCTAGTCAGTGCAGCATCTGTGCTCTGCTCCTGCGTGCCACAAGCCTGCAAGCTTCCCGAGCCTGCTAGCCATGCCTTGGTAACTTTCTGACAGAGCGTCTTGGCCTCAAGTTCACGCTCACTTGAATTCTGGAAGGTGCCTGAATAAAAATACCAACATCCTTGAAAATCTTTCGTTTTGGACAGACACTAAACTTCGGTTCCTGTTTCTCTAGAGCGCCACTAATCGCTCTACTGAAGAACCAACTATGCCTCTGACTCATCAAAATGTCACCATTGTAACCACCCGCAATACGGGTCACAAGCTAAACAATTTGTATGCGGAGTCACGCATACACGTGCATAGAGGCCATGCATCGACATCGTTGCTTGTTCTGCCACACCGTAACAATCCACCGTACGGACCTTTGGCTTCCCGTTCAGCGTTCTCTCTAGCTATTCTGTCCAGAGCCAGCTTGACTTTCTGTCGGTGCTCTTCCTGTACATTTCACCAGTCAGCATCGCACGTATTTTTGTAGCTCTACCAACCGGCCTCATCAGTCTGTTCTTCATCCGATGGTCTTATCGAAGGGTTACTGGGGAACGCACCTGCAGCCGCCTCAGTGTCGAAACGTGGCCTCGTAGGATTTCTTGTTCGCGCTCGCGGTGAGCTTTGACAACCTTTTGCTCCTCTTCCCAACCACCTCTGAACCAGGCGATTGCTGCTTCGTGGTCCTGTTCTTTAACTGGGCGCTCGTCCAGGAACCGAAGCGCTTGCAGGTCTGGGAGCATCAGTTGCAAGCAGATTTCAGTACGACAGCGGAAATAGCTTTTAAATAAATTTGAGGCAGCTCATATCAGGTGCGAATAAGAGGTTGATGTGCATGAAATCCGGAAATCTTTTTGGAATATTGAGCAGCTGCCTATTAAGGGTTCTCGCGATGCTTGTGCCACTGCACCCCACTCGCAATGAGAGTCCGACGGTACTGCGTGATTTGGCTCGTCACTGGATTTCCCATTAGGTAGAGCGAAGCGAGACCAGGCAAGGCCTTGAAACACTCCACAAATTCAGCGGCTGCTTTTTCGCCAGGCGCAACACTTGGTGGCTCCACAACGGCTGTGTCAGATTCATGGTGGGGAGTGCTGAGTGTTTCTTGCTCTGTTTCCCCTTGGTCTTTCGTGGACAAAGCATCACTTAGGGGGGCTTTGTTTTGTTTATCTGATTCTTCAAAGACCCCCATTTTGTTGTCTTCTTCCTTTGGAGCTTCTGGAGGCTCAACAGTTGGCGCTGAGGTGCCGTTTCCCTTGCTGCACAGCATTCCACCGTCACTGCGGAGGCATAAATAATTGTGGGATAGATCGACGTTTGTTAGGCTCGGACACCTGGTGAGCTCCAAAATGTCCTGCAGAATTTGAGCAGCACCGGAACAGCTGCAGTTTTAAATCGCTTATCTAATATTGGAGATGAATTCATTCTTGACTCACTGTCAGTGATGTAAGTTTGTTACGGGCTATCTTGAAGCAAGAGAGCTTGCTAAGCTTTTCAAGGCCTTCGATGCGCGAAATGCTGTTCTCGGATAGCTCCAAAGTGACTAATTCGGGGCAGCATTCAAGATTTTCGATTCGCGTTAGGCCGTTTTGCTCTAAAAACCTAAATTAAAACGCATCAAATCGAGCTGTCACTCATGCTGCCAGGCTCTCAAACAGCCACCCTTAAACATCGTCACACAGTGTTCAATTGCTGTCATCCACTGTAAGCGGGGAAGGAAAATATGTAGGCAAGATTCATGCCTGGTGTCAACTGTCTCACAAGCATTTTAGCTTCGAGAGGGGGTGAAGGTTTTCTATTCTGCGGAGGCTGTTTCCACCTAGCCAAAGAGCCCGCAACTCTGTGTACTCTTCAAGATTTTCAATTTTTTTGAAACCACGGCGATGTAAAAATAGCTTTTCATTCAAGATTGGCCTGTTGTACAGTCCCGTCTCTGTTGAACAAGATAATAGGGAGCGACTGGAAATCCGACATTTGCAAAAATGTGCAGATGGTTTTGAATGTCTGTATATTCTCAGAGCCTAGAGGTTTTAAATAAAGCCGTGTATCGGTAGGTGTACCATGACAAATTTTCCGGATTATTTCCTTTGTCATCTTCGTCTCGTCCTTTTCTGGCGTTTCGCTCTTTAGGGCGTCATGAGGAACCACCTGTAGGCTCGACGTGGTCTCGCTGGTAACAGTGCTTCCATTTCTGGTTCCTTTGTGATATCTAAAAAGCGCCTCCTCTGTGCCTTCCTTTTTCTCCATTTTGTGCTTCCTGTGTTTCATGGGATGCACGGGAGCCAGTTGTCCAGGATGCTCCCCGCTATCTAAAACAGCGCTGCCATTTATTTCAAATTTTCCTTGTTTGGTAAAATAAGGGGGACAACTGGACGAATTTCAACAGGGACTCTTTGCAGTAAAGTGGACGCCAAAAGGAACCTCGAGCTGCGTGACGAAAGTGGAGCAGTATCAGAATAATGAAAACAAAGATCAAGTTCAAGCACCATAATTGCTAAAGTTATTTTAATTAGCTGAAGATCAGTAATGCTTTGCTTCGTGAGTCCAGATATTTCCGGACTCGGCGTACAAGTGGGAAGTGTGAAAGCTGGACAAAGCGTCAACTGCCTGTCTCACCGACTACAAATCCATTTAAAGATTTGCTGTTGCAAATAATCCACTATCGGAGTAAAAAGCTGGGACAAAAAGTCAATGGCTTCATGGATGGTCAAAGGCGACGCCGTGCGACCTATCATGCAATAAGCTGGCACGTTCGGTAGTTGCCAGTGGCCTTCAGACCGTTTTGTTGAATTATAAGATTCATGCAGCCCTCAACCATACAGTGACCCAGAAGTTGCTCTTTTGTTCGCCTGCTAATTCAGCTGTTGCTGAAACACCCCACTTTCACAGGCGCAGGGTCACTACTCCTCCATGTGCTGAAGATGATGAAAGTGAGACGTAATGGGTCTTTTGTCTAAAAAAAAGCCCAAGTAATCTGGAATAAAGCAATATGTTGAGGAGCACATTATATTTGCCGGTTCGAGTTGGGCAGTGGGAACTGGCGCCCACCAGGTCACCACTGCTGATGGCCTAGGTCACTTCAGGTCAACCCATGACATCGGTTCCTTCTTTGACGAAAGTGTATCCACAAAATAGAAGAATGTACCTTTAAGCTAATTTTACATTTTTTGAGCGGCTAGAAGCTGCGAACAGAACACTACCCCGAATTACCGTCGAAATATTGCGGAGTAGCTTGCACACCAGTGTGGGCACGTGGAGACAAGTGACCTACCATACCCAGTGCCGCACAGATGTTTGCCTCTTTGCTAAACGGGCAGTAGCCTACTACAGCTACAATTACAAGCAGCAGCTTTGTTGTACTTCTGCCATTCATCTTGCTGTTTGCGTTGATTTATGGCTTGGTGTGGACAGCCTTTAATCTCTGCAAGTGTTTCTCTACACTCTGCTGGAGGCCAATCAGAATATCTTGAAAGGCTTCTTGGCACTTTGCGGATTGAGCCAATGCGTGCCAATCTTCAAGAGGACTGCACGACGAGTCTCTTCGACGCACTCACGACCAGAGCCAAAGAAGAGGGATGCTGCCTTGTTGGGTATACTGCAGCCTGCTTCCCCACACGTTGCCACTGAGAAACGTTTTCTTGTTGAATAACTGCTTGGTCACTTTCCACTGTGCTCAAAACCTGCTACCTATCAACTCACCGACTGATCTGCACTTTGTGCGCCTTCATGGAAAGCAAGCTGTGTGATAGCCTGCTTCAAGCACTCTAATTTGATGCGGCTCAGTAAAAGTGCTTCGCAGCTTTGACAAAGTGAATATCCATGAACGCCATTAAGTGATGGGGGACAACGACGCAACATAACGCTCCGCATATGTTTGCTGAAGTGCAGAGCTTCACTGTGGTTGCTGCGAAGCATAATACACTCTAAAAAATGACCAATATTCTTCGTTAACAGTAAAATGGAAGACAAAACTCGCATCGAAAGTTGGCCACGATCCCACAAACCTCATTATACATTACAGTAATGCATGAAAATGCAAGATAAGCTGCATTGGAGACGATGAGTCGGAACGACGACAGCGTGGGCTCCTACCAAGGCTTTGCAAGCTGATTTGAGCCGCGTGTAAGTGTTTCCCAGTTCTACTGCCTCATCTTCTTCTTTTCAAAAGTTAAGCAGCGTAGCACTCAGAAAACCGCCTAAATTTAATTTGTAGCTAACTTTGGGGACACAGCGGCACCGCAGCCAACGTAGGACGCAACTGCCTCACTCAAGCCAATGTGCAACGCAGCACAATAATAGCAATACGAACAATTCCACACATAAATGCAAAATTTCTGATAGTGCATCGTTCGACGTGCTGCCCGGCACAGGCTCGTACATTGTAGCAAGTTGCAGCTTTAAGACAAAAGTGGCTAAGGATAATTACACGAGAGCTTGCGCAAAACGCGGAACACTTCGCCTCTTCCCCATACCCAGCCTCCATTAATTGAGCTTTTGGGAGGTACTTTCAGGTTCTCTTTTGCATTGCGTAACAATCCAGTTTGCAAGGAGGGCGTTCGGAACTGCCAGCACGGACTGCCCATCGTAAGATCTGATATCACCCGTTTCCCCACTGAAATATCCATCCCCTTCAATTACACAAACGCATCCACAATATGTCGAGATTTGATTAAAGCCACGCGACACACTCATAGCACAACTCTTACGGGAAAATTGAGGCTAGTCAAGCAGCGATTTCTCGGGAAGTAATACCGGTATCATAGGTCCCCTGCGGCAGTCGTGGCCCTCTACGTTGAACCGCTCTCTGAGGATCAAATCCGTGTTGGTATTCTTCTACAAATCTTCTGTCGTTCGGAGCGAGGTAGCTCCAGTTCTCTAGCTGGTACGCAAGCCCGTCCTTGAAGGAATAGTTACCCTTCACTGCGAGGCCTTCCTCCCATTCAGCAGTGTATCTGCCTCCGTCGGGATATATAAGAACCCCTGAAAACGATTCACATTCTTCTGAGATTAGTTTACTGATACTTGTCCTTGGAACGCAGCACGAGCAATACAGAACTGCAATGCTACTGCGAAAATCTTGGCAGACAGTGGCTGTAGCGGCGTTCACCCTGGCCCCAGGGCTTGAAGCAGCTCGCTGGCATCCCATTTGGCAGTTTATACAGCACTTTAGAGGTGCATGGTTCACTGGATTGTCCGTTTTCCAGGGGATATGCTAGCACACAGCAGGGTGGCTTTGTGTGTTAACTGCGTGTCGCCACGCTGCTCTTCCATCTCTTCCAGCAGTTCCATCGATGTAATTCTCGAGAAATCGCTCTGAAGCTTTAAGTGGACCAGGCCAACTTCGCGCCATGCCATAAACTGCATTAACTGTGTTTTGTAGGCTGATTGTTAGCCCTACTGCGGTGGGAAACTCACCCTTCCCATGAAAATTGCCTTCTTTAAACTGTCCCTCATAAATAACCCCATTTGGAAGCACGCAGCGTCCTTCTCCTTCAAGCCAGCCATTAATCTTCGTGCCCTCGAGAACCGAGCCGCTCCAGCGTGGCTCCATTACTGAGCGAGGCAGTGAAACCTTCCCTAGAATGCCCCCGCGTATGTGTTTCCCTCCTTCTACCTATAAGTATACTTCGATGCTCGACTGGTGTGTTTGGCGTTCACTGTTTGGAGTTAACGACTGATCAATCAATGCTCGTCGCTCCGGCAGGTAGAACCTGACTAGCACTTTCTGTTCTCTGGTTTAGTT